TCGAGAATGTGTATGTATGCTTTAGAGATGGTCGAAAGTTTGTGTGAACTGTACGGAGAAAGTAAAACGTTGGAGGGAATGGAGTTTTACAACAAAAAATTGGTTTATGATTTTGCTGATATTAACAAAATGGCTGAAGACGACGAGATGGAAACAAAATTACGAAAGTACGGTTTTGGATATCGTGCGAAATATTTGCATCAGACTGCGAAGAAACTTGCCGTAAGTTCATCCTCGTGATGTTATCGATTATATTCTAATTGCATTCAGTTTTGCAAAAGTAGAAATAATTTACTTATTCCGAATAACTATTGCAAAGTTTCCTTTCCTTTATTATGAATCGACCCTTCAAAATATGGATCAGGCATCATAACCGTTGTGTTATAGGAATGTTTTTCATGGTTCAGATAATGTGCTCATATTTGCAAAAACTGAAAACTTCTAATGGAGTAAATAATTTTAGGAATTAGGTGGTGAAGCATGGCTGAATGGACTTGTCGAACAACCGTATGATAGTGCTAAACAGCAACTTCAAACGTTACCTGGAATAGGACCAAAGGTGTTTAACAAAATTGCTATTATATGAGAGCATGAATTGATAATTAGATATAAGCCGAATCATAGCCTGGCTCAGGATATGATTCGCTCTGATTTCCCAGCGTTTGACGCTCATCGAACTGAGTGGAAGTTCAACAGAACCATTAGGTAAAGGCTGAACAGTCTACGTGATAGTCATTGTTATAAGTTTTTAGTGTTAATATCATCACTAAATAATCGAATTATTGTGGCCAATTCAGGTGGCAGATTGTATATGTTTGATGTCGTTGAATAAGCCGGATGTGATACCGGTCGATACTCATGTCTTTCAAATTACCTCAAAAGTATTTATGCCGGAATTGAGCAAAATCAAATCTCTCAATAATGCGATTTATAAGCAAATTGGTGAGTTTACAATTGAATTTCAATCTTTTATTTTTGTTGTTTTTGTACAGATGAGTTGACTTTATTGCTATCGTCAGGATAAATTCTCGATCTCATTGCATAATTCAGTTTAGCCTGATTATTTCCAAGTTGCGAAACGCTAATGAATTATCTTTTTCGACGATAGAAAGTGAGATGTTAACATTTCGTAACAAATATATTTATTTGAATTATCAGATTTATACAGTGACAGCTTTTTTTCACATTGTTATTATTGTTTTACAACAACACATTGTGATAATTTAATATTTTAATAATAATAATTTAATATTTTGTTAGTTTCATGGTTATCGTTNATATGGCGTGAAAACTTTGGTGAATATGCTGGATGGGCACATACCGTGTTATTCAGTACACAGTTAAAATTATTCAACATCAAAGCAGTTGCTGAGAAGGAGAATAAGAAGAGAATTCTGAAGGATCAATCGAATAAAACAGTCAAAAAAACAAAGAAATAAACTGATTCGATGTCTTGTTTTGGTGTATTTATTGCTGATGATGATGGTATTATTGTAGTTGTGAATATTGTTGTTGTAATATTACGGTTATCGTTTCGTTATGATTATAACTTATTGTTGATATATGCTGGTTTGTTGGTTAAGATGAATTTTTACTAACATATCAATATCAATGTATAATATCAAGAACCAATGATCAACTAGATGTGAATTCACCAAATATCAATATATCAGTTTACCAGTACCAAATATCAGCGATAATAAGAGATTATTCCGAAGAAAAGATGAACTTTACGATAAAAGTGAAATGATTATCAAATAGTTAGAGCTTCTCCGAAGTTACCGTCTTTCAAAGAGTCATTAGGTAAACTGATATACGACTGGAAAATTAATCTTTATGATATCATTTTGTATTGGGAATATACATTCTTTCAAGAAAAGTTTCTCTTTCTTCTGCATTTCTTCAAAAATATTGAAATTTTCGAGCGTTTGAGAAGGCTGCAGTGAGGGTTTCAATAGAATATTTTGATCAGTTATGTAGATCGGTCAATAAAATAATACTACTGTTACTGTTCTCATTACTGTTGATATGGTTATTATTGTTGCAACTTTGACTGTTCATTAGTTGTTGTTGGTGTAGTTTTCGTTTAATGAACATACTGTGCGCACTAAGTGTTATCACAAAAAACGTTAGACCGACGACAATCTCGAAGATTGATAACACAAAAATTCTCTTCTGTAGTTTCAACGTAATCTCGTGTCTCACTAACTTCGAGTTACTGGATAACCACTGAAATCAGAACATTTTACAAATGAGTAAGCAACTGAATCTGACCTTGTAATAAGGGGGAAGACAGAAATTTGGAATAGTTCAAAGAAATCATCATTGTAGACTACTTAATCTTGCCTGAAGAGATTTCGGTTTTAATGAGAAACTTCGAGCGATTTCTCAGAGCGATTAGTTTAAGCTAGTGGATTTGCAGGATCTTCAATTTGATCTCAGTATCAATGATGGTGATCATATTATGATCAATGATGAACAATGAACATGCGAGATCACTGAGGTAGATTATTTCCGCAATGAATAGGTAGGTAATGAATCGAAGGTGCTAGGTAATGAACTACAGGTGTATTCAATTGGTAACGGTGAATGTTATAAGCACAATTGAAAATGAAAAGCTTAAGCAAATTCACAAAAAAAAACATAATTGGAGTAAACGGTGGACTCACTTGCCATATCAAGAGCCCGACTGAAAGGCATGTCAGCAAAATCCTCCACGATAAGTATGGTATCAGAGTGATTGCATGATAGTTGTGTGTTGCATAACATAAGAATGGTATCGTCAAAACATGCCCAAATATTGCAAGCACCATAAATGTCAGTAATAACACACCTTTTGCATCTCTAAAATTCTCGTTCTTATCAATATGCTCATTGCTTCATTATTATTATCATCTCAGCTCACGATCAATGTTTTCAAATTTGTCTTCATATCCCACGAGTTCATCGGAAATGCTGACTGATTTTATTGAGTCATAATTTTGGATAATGTTTTCATCAACTAATACTTTTCCAAGAGCTTATATTATCATAGACTTTTACGTACAATCCAAAATTTTTGGTCACAATATGAGAAGTGCTAAAATTTGAAGGTAGTTTGAATAATAGAAGTTGAAGTGGACGGAACGGATTCAATAGAATTTCTGTAGAATGATCTTCATCAATACAGTAAAATCGCAAGGTATCAATGCGCTGTGAGGAGTTTATGAAAGGTATTGTGTTCAGGTGATTCCATTCGACTTCTCAGATTAAAATCATTAAGATTGTTTTTTATTCAGGCTTCTGATATCGAACATACGCTGGACCATTAGCATATTATGTGGTTGTCGAATGAAAATGTTTAATTTTGCAGTGACTCAGTCATTTGCGTAAGACTGCTGGAGGATCTAGTTCATCTAGAGCTCAACAGAAGTCGAACAAACAATAATTCTGGTCTTTGTAAGAGAATCAGAATTTGACATGGAGCATTGATGAGATTGAGACGAACAGAATGAGAAAATACAGCACGAGAACACTTTTATTATAGAATAGTGATGAGAGCGATTAGAGAACGTTTGAAAAGAATGAAAATTCAATTCAGAGTATATGAATCCAGCGATTCATTGGGAAATGATGGCGAAATCCTAAATTCTATGGCAACTCTGGGATTTTCCGATCAAAATGTTAATCCAGTCTGTTCAGATGAATGAGAATAATTGACGCTCAGATGAAGTATGTTCCTCTTGCTTGAGTGCTACCTGCATTTGATTTCAGCACATTAAAATATGGTAAATGAATACATGAAGACGGATCAAACAAGACGATTTTCATACATACAATTCGTGCTCTCACGCCTCAGCTTTATTGTGATGATTTCCAAATCTCCATCTCATCCAGCATAATCTTTTCAAAAATATGACCGATGAATTTTTCTGAGAGGAAAATTCTCATCGATACATTTTGTCTGACATTCGAATACATTCAGATATTCAGATACATGAATACACAACTAAATGGAATGCAACATTTTGGTTTGCCAAATCCATGATATCAGCACATTCAGCGTTTTATGAGTCACCAATTCATTGCTGATTCCTTTTGAGGATAGATTTTCACCGTAGCTACCAGAAAAGTAATCGGATTCTTTGATATTGGCTCCAACTCAAGCGCTATTAAACAGTTTGCTCACAGATAAGTGCAACCTTCATCTTTTGAGTTTATTTCCCTCAGATAGTCAATATGCTCAGTTTCGGTTACTAAAGGCAAAATATTTCATGTTCTTCTGCTCAAGTAGGATCTCACCTAGCATCTTAATATTTTTGAAATGAAATTTTTAGTTCACGATCTATTAGTCACATTTTTTCCAGATGAGCCGAATGAACACAGTAATACAGAACTGAATAACTGTTATCATTTTTGTGCATTTGTTCTTTAGTAAAGAAAGGTTTTGGATTTATTGGCCTTGATATTCTTTATATAACGTTTCTGAATTACTAGTGAGCTCAAGTTTAATCGATAAGATATTGCTATTCTGTGCTTTTCGAACAGAGTATGATATCAGCAGCCTGAAAAGTATTTACATTCCCAGGAGAAGCACTCCAGTTCAAGAGTTAATCATTCATTTCTTTTCAAGTATATTCTGTTTTCATGTTTTGACGGTGGTATTATATTCACCCTATCGGTGCGTTAAACTATAACGAACAAAAGCAGTGCGCTAAACGATCGTTGCATAGAGCATAACCTCAACTGATAGCATAATCACTTCGTGTTTTTGCTCTAAAGTCACTCACTCGTTCGAGCGATATTCATTTGCAAATGTTACCAGACTCATCAATACAATCAATATTTGAGTGAGAATCATCCTTAGGTCACATTGAAAAGGTCAAGTTTGATCAACACCTCTAGGATAGTTTATGTCTTTCTGATCGAGCATCACTTGAAATCTTAATAAATCATATGTTCCTCAATTGAAATCATCTAATCATGCACTTAAGTATCCATTCGAACCGATGAGAATACTTTTCATCTATAGCTAATCACTAACAATGGTTGAGCAAACAATTGCAGAGTGCTTAAAAGAGAATGAGAATTTGACATTGACTGTTAACGGCAATGAGAGGAAAAGAATGAGAATGAAAGGGCACGAGAACGGTTTCAGCATAAAGTAGAGGTGAGAGCGACTAGTGCACATCAAAAAAGAATGAAAATTCTATGCAGAATACTCAACTTCAATAAATGATATAGAAATGATGGCGAATCAGTGATAGTGACCGAAATGTTCGGCACACTTTTGTCTTCTTAATTATGAATTTACAGTTCACCTATTTTTGCAAAGAGCCTCCAATTCATATCAAGAATTGAATTAGGCATGATTATGACCGAGCGACCATTTTACAGTGTTCGATTGTGGAATGATATGATGAAATTATCAATGATAGTGAGTGGAGTTTAAGTACTTTCTAACAATAAGGTTAATCCAGTGGCTATCAATACCACCACTGATAACAACAATAGCTATTGTTATCAAGGATCATTTATAAAACCACGGTATAAGCATCTAAAGTAGTTTGGGAATTGATAGAATAGAAAATAAAATACCTGTTTGCAGCATCTAGTTTCATCAACTCGTAAAATACACCAAATGTTTCATCAAAGACCAATCCAACTGTGCACGATTCGACGACAATGATAATGTAGAGTGCTGTCAAAATTCTATTTGACATTGAGAATAACAACTTAAATCTTATCAGCAACAGTAATAATAATAATGATAACAATAACAACGAAAAACAGTGTTGATATTTCGTTAATTTGTCAGCAGAACAATTGGCTGAAAGTAAGTGAAAATACGAAGAAAGCACAGTGATAGCGTCCAATATCATTGAGTTACAATAATGAATCAAGTATAATTAACTGAGCGATTATCACAACAAACAATACAACTAATCACCATAATGATCAGCGATGATCTTTAGGACAAAATGCTCATTGGTTTTATGCAGATGATCATCAAATAATGAACAAGTTTAGAGATGCTATGATTGAAAAAAAATGATTTCTATGTTTGAAGGCCCAGAAAATTTTTAAAAATTCCAACCAAATTGCCTCAAAACAAACAATGGAACATTCTCATACTCTCATAAAACCACTTCAAGATTTGAGCAGAATGGACGCTTACTCTTACAATAAAGCCAATAGATCGCCAATTTCTCATATCCATTTCTTATAGCCGACATCATTGTTGCGTTCTTTCATTGTTTCATTTGAAATTCTTTTTTGTGGGAAAAAATTGACAGACGTTTTGCTCGAGACTTCACTGAGACAACGCAAAAAGTGACATTCAAATGACTGAATGAAAGAAGTGTTCTATTGAGATGAATTTCTCTCGAAAAGTTTTATTCATTTCTGACTCGTCGTTCACCTCGACATCAATCATTAACGTTAAAGAACCACTTCAAAA